CAGATTGCCACAGTGTTGTAATTGTGAGCCAAGTACCTGAATCATGACCACCTTACTGTGAGGGCACTGCTACGGCCAGAACTCTGAGGACCGATTGTAAGTCCCCCTTGTTCAGCACCATTGTCACTTTGAACAGTTGCTGAATGAGTTGTAGTTACAGTGAAGTCTAATTTTATCAGGAAGAGTTACAGCTTGTGTGTCCCAACTGCTCACTAATGCCATTAATGAAGATTTTAGCTTTTATACCAGATAGAAGAGGGAAAAGACTTATCAAATTGTTATACTGGCTTTGCTTTGAAAACGTTTAGCAAGAATAAGCAAACAACTCCACAGACACTTAAGAAAACTGAAGAAATAATTCAATCTTGAAACTGCGTAGCTGCTGTTATTATGTCCTTTCCATTTCTCCTTTGTAATATGAAGCTGTAGAACAATTCAAGCTACGGCACAATTTTTTTATTAGTACATTTCACACTGAAGACTGGATTTAAGGCTTTCTAAAACTGAGCACACAGGAACTATTTATATTAACCAAGGTCACGTAAATGAAGAAATTCTGTAATCTGCAAATAAATCCAACTGAAAAAATGTTTATTCATATAAACCAACAATTAACATCTTAAAAATACTTACCGCTATTGTAGATCCGTTCTTTCCCACACCTCCTCCAAAGATTACTCGGAAATAATTATAAGTTGAATATACTGCCACACACACTACGCCAGCAAGAAGTATTTTCTTCAGTTGTAGTTCTAGCACAGGGATCTTGTAAGGAAAATTATCATTTAAAAGGTTTTAAACCTTTCCAGCACTACTAAAACTTAGCAATTTATCTGAACTATTTTTCTTCACTAAAAGCAAAGGTAACATAGCCATGCCATTCACGTCAAACAATTCTGTTAGCAATCCCAGATTATGATTGGAGGACAGGACTTTGCAGACATACAGACACTGTTCTTTAAATTCTCTCACTATTACATATGACTTAAAATTTGGAATCAAGGAACAGCATTCTTAAGCAACATGAACTCAATTTATAGCCTTATATACAGTTAGTCCTTGCTTAACAATGGTAATTGGGGCCAGCAACTCCATTGCTAAGTGATGTGGTTGTAAAGTGCAATGTCATGTGACCATGCCGACTTAGAATGGCAATTGCGGCAGTTCCAGTTGCCATCACTAAGCGAATCCCCCACAGTTGTTAGGTGCAACAACATGTGATCGCCATTTGCAACCTCCTGCTGGCTTCCCCATTGACTTTGCACAACCACGTGACTGCGGGTTGTACGTAATTGTACGTAATTACAAGCCGGTTGCCAAGTACCCTAGTTGCAATCATGTGTTTGCAGGGATGCTGCAATGCCTGCAACTACGAGGACCAGTCATAATTCTCATTCGGTGCTGTCATAAGTTTGAACAGTCACTGAACGAGGATTACCTGTATACCATCAACTATATTTCCAAAAAATGGATAGTTCCTCCAGGTTCACTGATCTAAACAGCTATAAGCACCACAGGAAATGCAAACACCATCTGCCCATTTTGTTTATATGAGACCCTGAGATTGTATTATCCATATACTCTAGCTAATACAACTTTAGAATAAATATTTACCTTTCTTATTCAACAGTAGTTTGAAGGAAACTTCCAAGAAGCAGCACAGAATTAAAAAGAAAAGTAAATTAAATGAATCCTGTAACCAACCAGGTTACATTTCAGAATACAAAGTTGCCTAAGGTGCTATTACCAAGATCATGGTATCTCAAACAATCCATTACTCCATGCCAAACAAAAGAACTTTCACAATGAAGATGACTTAAATTCAGTATTTTAGCTGTGTACTGTAGCTTCAAGGGAAAAAATGCATTTCCAAAGGAAAACTTGAGAAGTTTCAGTAATAACATGCTGAATTTCTTACATACAGGTATTCAATAATTCAAGCATGCCAGAACATTAAAATCAGTTTCAAGAGTAAACTCAGGCAAGTGATGCTTACAAACTTTTAAATATTTGTAAATGTTGTAAATGTTTAAAATTTTATTGTGGCTGTATAAATACTTATACTGTGGTGTCAGCATTGCCTTGCCATGCAGTTAATATTCATTCACTCAATCTGCTGGATTTCCAAATGGCTGGAAAAGTCCAGGGAGACTGATTTCTCCAGTGGAAAGATCAGGCTTATCCAACCTGAGGTCTTCATATCCAGTGGACTTAATTCCCAAAATTTTCAAGAGGTCATCCTAGCTGATGCCTTCTTTGAACAGTAGTTCTCTGAATTCTTTCTGTAAACCTAAATTCTACTTGGCAAAAACAGTCCAGCTTTGAAAAGCAGGAGGAGCATAATTTTCTCTGAAGTTTTCAGAAAATAAAAGGGAGATGCATCCTGTTGACTTATAGCAGGAGTCCTCACGGACTCCTAAACGGGGCCAGTTCACGGTCCCTCAGAATGTTGGGGGGCCGGACCCGGCATACCTGTCATGTAGAATAGTCTGCAATCTCCCTCCTCGTGCATCGCCTGCAGCTCCTGACACAGCCCCGACACTTCCGCTTCTGACAGACAGCAGCGGTGGCCAATCAGGCAGGCGGCCGGATAAATGACCCTGGTGGGCCGTATCTGGCCCACGGGCCGTACTTTGAGAACCCCTGATTTATAGCAATAAACTCAGTACAGCCTTTGAATGCTACACAAATGTTAAGTAACATCAGTTGTCAGCTAGGCAATAATAAAGGGCACAGAATTGGAACTATTATTTAAACAGCATATGTTTAAATAATTGTAGTAATTTAATACAAACTTCAATTATGGCAGATGGAGTCTTCTTCCTTTATGTAGTTCTAAACTCATGTATTGGAGAGCACATTACAAACCCAGAGGTGACATTATACTTGAACCACATGAGAAAAGGCATCCTGCAATAAACATTTAAGAGTGTCCTATTTTTAAAAGAGGGAAAAATCAAAGTTCAACAAAATGAAAAGGATTAGAAAGAGCCACTTAGTATCAATATGTTTTCAGAGATCTGAAAATATATTTAAGCCTGTAGATATATCTACTTACCTTTGTGTCCCACATTGTTGTTCCACCAAATGAGGTTAATAAAAAGATTATCATTACGGTGATTTCAGTTTCAGTCACATCAATTCTAGAACAAAAAAGAAATTGATTGACTCATACCAATAACTTAATGTTTTTATGAATAGGGAATCATATCAAGGATTAATCAAACATTTTCTAAAATAACTGTAAACATCAGGGAACTCAATAATGAAATTAGCTTAGTAATTTACTTTGTTTCTGGTAATTATATTTTCCTAATTCAATATGTAATTTAGCTGATATAATGGCTGGAATATAACATTTTATTTATTTTATAATAGCAGCATTTAAAAATATAAGGAAGGGCATGGATCACTATCTCCTCCCACCCAAAGTAAGATGCAAATTTATCCATTATTATTATGAAAGAAATAGAAAATAATCACTGGCCTTGACACTTTAGCAGCTGAGGCTCAAGTATCTGCACTATATCCCATTAAAGAGTTCCCAAAATGTAGAAAAGTACAAGTTTTATAGTAAAACTAAGGTACTTAGCATGCTAAATTTAAAGCCAGCAACTAAAGGGGAAAAAAAAAAGCACAGCAAAGAAATAGAGTTATACTAGCATAGTGGAATTATTTTTCCTTTTAAATAACCAACTTGATGCCATATCAAAAACTGCTTTTGAAAGTATTGCTTTCAAAACTGTTTATTATGTAGCACGAAGACAGCTTTGTTAAAGAAAATCAAGTCTGAAGGCCTCTTAGGATTAAAACCCCCTTAGTTCAAAAGCCAGCTCTTTGGAACAAAATTGGCACTTATAAATCAAAATTGAATTATAATCAATTGAAATTTTGAACTGGGATTATAAATAAAAACATGGGTGTAACACCCACTTTAGGGTGATTATTTATATATCAAGGGAGAACAGATAAAGCACAAATTTGCATAGCCTCTGCCTGTGCTCTTGTGCTCTACGTGGGACTGCCCTTGAAGAGTATTTGGAAGCTTCAGCTGGTGCAAAATGTGGTAGTGCGGGCAGTTATGCATGCCCCTAGAAGGGTACACATTACAGCTCTGCTCTGTGAGCTGCACTGGTTGCCAGTTTGCTTCTGGGTCCAATTCAAGGTGCTGGTTTTAACCTTTAAAGCTCTTCATGGCATGGGGCCAGGTTATTTGAGAGACTGCCTCTCCTCGATTACATCTGCCCATCCCATCAGGTCTGGCAGAGAAGGCAGGCTGCAGGTCCCACCAGTCAGGGAATTCCATATGGCTGGTCCCAGGAGGTGGGCCTTCTCTGCTATGGCCCCTGCCTTGTGGAATCTTCTCACCCCCCCCCC